CACCAAATACACAACACAATGTGATTCATAAAACTGAAGCAGCTAAGAGAAAAAGAAACCAAAAGTTCACAGCTACGACCTGACTTCTAAGAAGTTAGCATAAAAAAATGAGAGGACTCTTCACATCTTCTAATCAAATGTGAATATATTTATATCCATAGCCGATGCAAATCTGCATCTTCCAGAAATTGCCGCTCAACATGTTAGGCGGAATCCACATTACGTCATCTTTGGGATGCCTTTGCTCGCTCACTTTCTGAATTTTCTTCACCATCGATCCAATCCTTAATGTGCTATACTGGTTGAGTTTAGCCAGACTGCATGAGAAGTCGCGTATACTCGGAGTCATAGGTGCCATACGGTTTACAGTCACATACACGCCGCCCTGTGACTCTGATCCCTTGAACGCCTGAACTACAATCAAATCACCTTCTTTCTCTTCCTTCAGAACGACCATCATCTTCTTACCAAGGTTCATGTCGATGATCATAGGACGGTCAAACACAAACTGGACACCCTCGTCCCAATAGTGTGCAGCACAGGCATGTCTTTTGAGATCCGGGTAAGAGCCAACGTAGTTGCAGTTCGGTACAGGGCAAGAACAACGGACGAAAATACAAATCTTCTCATGGCTAGATTGATTACAATACATGGTGGTTTCTTTACACCCGTATTTTTCATTTGGACATGGGACAATAGATGCTTCAATAACCTTCTCCATGGCTCTGCATCGTATATCACCGATGTGAGATCTACAGAACGAGCATGTCTTGTTCATCTTTTTGCAGCACGACGAACAAGCTAGATGCCCGTTTTTACACTGAACAAAAACACCATAGTAGTGTTAGCCAAAATCATTGACCCCAATACAATTTGTATCCCAATCAAACTATTATATGTTCATAAAACTACGAATAAGCTACGAATCCACAAATCAGTAATCAAAAACTCAGTGACCTAAAGCAGTTTGTAGCCAAATCAAACTTATGAACACTAATTAGAGATGAGTCTGTGACCTAAATGTTCTTATTTCTGCAATTCCATCAACCTAATAAGCGATGAATCCATAGATATGATAATAGCAATACCAGAAATTACGAATCAAAGGAGTGAAACCTGATAGATAGGTCTGGTGAGTGGCTCGCAACAAGTAGGACAATCGAGAACTTCTGTACTCTGAAGCTTCACCGATTGGGACGATTTAGGACTTTCCGATTGTTGTTCCGTTGTCAGATCTTCGTTAACAATAGTCGCCATTCTTGTTTCAGAAATA